CTATTGAATTTGAACAAACCGGAAACGTGTTTGTTTTGTTGATGTAATGAAAACTTAACCTAATCTAATCTAATCTTCTTAGGCCTAATATACGTTATATAAGGCCTAATATAGTACATATTTGTACTATACTAGGCCTAGAGATATTTAAGCTTGGTTTGCAGGCTGTAGGATAGCTTGCACTAACATGATAGCCTGCACCAACATGATAACCGTACCTGTACCAGTACAGGTATGGTACAGGTACCACTGATAAAGGTATTAATTACACTGGACCACTAACTCTCACATTACACTGGACCACTAACTCTCACATTACCCTGGACCACTAACTCTCACATTACACTGGACCACTAACTCTCACATTACCCTGGACCACTAACTCTCACATTACACTGGACCACTAACTCTCACATTACACTGGACCACTAACTCTCACATTACACTGGACCACTAACTCTCACATTACCCTGGACCACTAACTCTCACATTACACTGGACCACTAACTCTCACATTACCCTGGACCACTAACTCTCACATTACACTGGACCACTAACTCTCACATTACACTGGACCACTAACTCTCACATTACACTGGACCACTAACTCTCACATTACACTGGACCACTAACTCTCACTTTACACTGGACCACAAACTCTCACATTACACTGGACCACTAACTCTCACATTACACTGGACCACTAACTCTCACATTACACTGGACCACTAACTCTCACTTTACACTGGACCACTAACTCTCACATTACACTGGACCACTAACTCTCACATTACACTGGACCACCAACTCTCACATTTCACTGGACCACTCTCACATTACCCTGGACCACTAACTCTCACATTACCCTGGACCACTAACTCTCACATTACACTGGACCACTAACTCTCACATTACACTGGACCACTAACTCTCACATTACCCTGGACCACTAACTCTCACATTACACTGGACCACTAACTCTCACATTACACTGGACCACTAACTCTCACATTACCCTGGACCACTAACTCTCACATTACCCTGGACCACTAACTCTCACATTACACTGGACCACTAACTCTCACATTACACTGGACCACTAACTCTCACATTACCCTGGACCACTAACTCTCACATTACACTGGACCACTAACTCTCACATTACACTGGACCACTAACTCTCACATTACCCTGGACCACTAACTCTCACATTACCCTGGACCACTAACTCTCACATTACACTGGACCACTAACTCTCACATTACCCTGGACCACTAACTCTCACATTACCCTGGACCACTAACTCTCACATTACACTGGACCACTAACTCTCACATTACACTGGACCACTAACTCTCACAATACCCTGGACCACTAACTCTCACATTACACTGGACCACTAACTCTCACATTACACTGGACCACTAACTCTCACATTACACTGGACCACTAACTCTCACATTACCCTGGACCACTAACTCTCACATTACACTGGACCACTAACTCTCACATTACACTGGACCACTAACTCTCACATTACCCTGGACCACTAACTCTCACATTACACTGGACCACTAACTCTCACATTACCCTGGACCACTAACTCTCACATTACACTGGACCACTAACTCTCACATTACCCTGGACCACTAACTCTCACATTACCCTGGACCACTAACTCTCACATTACCCTGGACCACTAACTCTCACATTACACTGGACCACTAACTCTCACATTAGAGTAGCAGGTGGTTAACACTGTCGTGATGGAAGACGTCCGTCAATCACTCAAGCGACCTGTCGTACCCAGAATGCAACACGACAAGCGAGGAGAAGGTTTTATTGATCAACCGGCCTTGCATCAGTCAATCAACGTGATGGATGATGCTGTAAAGAGAGCACTCATGTTGCCAGATTGGAGCTCTGAGGGGGCTCACTTGAGCTCTTATGGTCAAAGGAGGCGGCCTCGCTCAATGGTGCTCAGCTTAAAGTAATGATATCAGATGCATGTGTGTGTGTCTGTAGCCAGGATGTGAAGTTTGCGCTGCAGGAACGTTCTGAAATAGAATCAAGGAGAAGGGGTTCGATCCTGGATCGGTTATGTGTATTTAAAATGATACCATGGAGTAGTGTGTGGTGCTGTGGAGGCTGGTGGAGGCTCCCATGTGCTCTCCGTATCACCATTCACAGCTGAAGTTCGTAAGAGGATCTTACAAGGCGTCACAACACTACCCAAGATGCAGATGATGAGTCACAACATAGTGACTGAAAATATGATGACCAACCCACACACCACAACCCACACACCACAACCCACACACCACAAACCACACACCATAACCCACACACCACAACCCACACACCACAACCCACACACCACAACCCACACACCACAACCCACACACCACAACCCACACACCACAACCCACACACCACAACCCACACACCACAACCCACACACCACAACCCACACACCACAACCCACACACCACAAACCACACACCACAACCCACACACCACAACCCACAACCCACACACCACAAACCACACACCACAACCCACACACCACAAACCACAAACCACACACCACAACCCACACACCACAAACCACACACCACAACCCACACACCACAAACCACACACCACAACCCACACACCACAAACCACACACCACAACCCACACACCACACACCACACACCACACACCACAACCCACACTCCACACACCACACACCACAACCCACACTCCACAACCCACACACCACACACCACAAACCACACACCACAACCCACACACCACAACCCACACACCACAACCCACACACCACAACCCACACACCACAAACCACACACCACAACCCACACACCACAACCCACACACCACAACCCACACACCACAACCCACACACCACACACCACAACCCACACACCACAAACCACACACCACAAACCACACACCACAACCCACACACCACAACCCACACACCACACACCACACACCACAACCCACACTCCACAACCCACACACCACACACCACAACCCACACTCCACAACCCACACACCACACACCACAAACCACACACCACAACCCACACACCACAACCCACACACCACAACCCACACACCACAACCCACACACCACAAACCACACACCACAACCCACACACCACAACCCACACACCACAACCCACACACCACAACCCACACACCACAACCCACACACCACACACCACACACCACAAACCACACACCACAACCCACACACCACAACCCACACACCACAAACCACACACCACAACCCACACACCACAACCCACACTCCACAAACCACACACCACAACCCACACACCACAACCCACACACCACAACCCACACACCACAACCCACACACCACAACCCACACACCACAACCCACACACCACAACCCACACACCACACACCACACACCACAAACCACACACCACAACCCACACACCACAACCCACACACCACAACCCACACACCACAACCCACACACGACAAACCCCACACCACAACCCACACACCACAACCCACACACCACAACCCACACACCACAACCCACACACCACAAACCACACACCACAACCCACACACCACAAACCACACACCACAACCCACACACCACACACCACAACCCACACACCACACACCACAACCCACACACCACACACCACAACCCACACTCCAGGAAATGAGACGACGATGTTTCGGTCCGTCCTGGACCATTCTCAAGTCGTTCATCACACAACTTGATAATGATCCAAGACGGACCGAAACGTCGTGGTCTGCTCATCACTAGAGTGCAGTTTGGCCCTCTAGCTCCACCACTATTCCCGAGCTGATCGAAGGAGTGAGAGGCAGTTGTGAGGAGTGAGGCAGGAAGCAAGGAGTGTGAGAGAGTCTACAAGGAGAGAAGCCAAGATATCGTAACTAGAGCGGAGATGATATCCTAATTAATCATTAGAAATGCATCATTCCCCGAGGGCTGAGTTTGTGTTCATATTGCTGATAATTTGAACCATTTACCCCGCAAATATTGTTACTTTTTTTTAATAAACTGATGTAATAATAATATGTTTAGACATGACTTACATTTCCGGACAAGCGTGAGAGTGTGTGTCACCCAGATCATTGTGTTTGTGCAACATAGTGTTTGTGCAACATAGTGTTTGTGCAACATAGTGTTTGTGCAACATAGTGTTTGTGCAACATTGTGTTTGTGCAACATAGTGTTTGTGCAACATAGTGTTTGTGCAACATAGTGTTTGTGCAACATTGTGTTTGTGCAACATTGTGTTTGTGCAACATAGTGTTTGTGCAACATAGTGTTTGTGCAACATAGTGTTTGTGCAACATAGTGTTTGTGCAACATAGTGTTTGTGCAACATAGTGTTTGTGCAACATAGTGTTTGTGCAACATAGTGTTGTACAACATAATGTTCTCCTGTGTTAGTTTATGTATTGCCGAATACACTGTTTAGTGATATTTGGCCTCGTGTATCAGGCTCATGTATCAGGCTCATGTATCAGGCTCGTGTATCAGGCTCGTGTATCAGGCTCATGTATCAGGCTCATGTATCAGGCTCATGTATCAGGCTCATGTATCAGGCTCATGTATCAGGCTCATGTATCAGGCTCATGTATCAGGCTCGTGTATCAGGCTCATGTATCAGGCTCATATATCAGGCTCATGTATCAGGCTCATGTATCAGGCTCGTGTATCAGGCTCATGTATCAGGCTCATGTATCAGGCTCATGTATCAGGCTCATATATCAGGCTCATGTATCAGGCTCATGTATCAGGCTCATATATCAGGCTCATATATCAGGCTCATATTAGTGTTAATTTAAGCCACCGTTAATACACTTATGACAATACATATCGCTGTTATGTTGACAAGGCATATCAGTGCTTCTTTGTCAAGACCTGTCACTGAGTGACAGAACCTGTCACTATATGTGTCCCAGCCCACAGACCATGTATATGTATCCCAGCCCTCAGACCATGTATATGTGTCCCAGCCCTCAGACCATGTATATGTGTCCCAGCCCTCAGACCATGTATATTTGTCCCAGCCCTCAGACCACGTATATGTGTCCCAGCCCTCAGACCATGTATATGTGTCCCAGCCCTCAGACCATGTATATGTCTCCCAGCCCTCAGACCATGTATATGTGTCCCAGCTCTCAGACCATGTATATGTGTCCCAGCCCTCAGACCATGTATATGTGTCCCAGCCCTCAGACCATGTATATTTGTCCCAGCCCTCAGACCATGTATATGTGTCCCAGCCCTCAGACCATGTATATGTGTCCCAGCCCTCAGACCATGTATATGTCTCCCAGCCATCAGACCATGTATATGTATCCCAGCCCTCAGACCATGTATATGTGTCCCAGCCCTCAGACCATGTATATGTGTCCCAGCCCTCAGACCATGTATATGTATCCCAGCCCTCAGACCATGTATATGTGTCCCAGCCCTCAGACCATGTATATGTGTCCCAGCCCTCAGACCATGTATATTTGTCCCAGCCCTCAGACCATGTATATGTATCCCAGCCCTCAGACCATGTATATGTGTCCCAGCCCTCAGACCATGTATATGTGTCCCAGCCCTCAGACCATGTATATGTGTCCCAGCCCTCAGACCATGTATATGTGTCCCAGCCCTCAGACCATGTATATGTGTCCCAGCCCTCAGACCACGTATATGTGTCCCAGCCCTCAGACCATGTATATGTGTCCCAGCCCTCAGACCATGTATATGTGTCCCAGCCCTCAGACCATGTATATGTGTCCCAGCCCTCAGACCATGTATATGTGTCCCAGCCCTCAGACCATGACTGTGATAAAGGGTCTACCATCAACAAGAAGTTAATAATCACGCCAACAGATGGCGGTAAATTGTTATATTTACTAACAGCCAAAATGCCTCGAGTCGGCCGCCTTACACTGCCAGGAAAACCGTTATTGACATTTTTACTATAGTATTTTTCACCAAAAATCGTTTTTAAATATTAAATGACGTTTTAAATATTCATTTTATTTATACTAATGCATTAAATGAAATTGTAGTGAGTGGTATAGGACAGCACTTGGCTCAGCAGAGTGATGGTTCAACACCGCTAGTGGCTGCTAGAGCGGTACTTCGGCTCCTCCGCGGGTCAGTGGTTCTTCAGTAGTGTGTGAGGCCCACCGAGGACCACTGGTCAAGGACTCGTCGCCGGACTAGTAAAAAACAGTCGTCGCGCCGATTCGATAAGTCGCTGGTGTCGCCTCGGGTCGTCCGACTCTAGATCATTTGTCCGAATCTGGTATTCCAGCCTGGGCACGGGAGGGTGGGCCTGGCCACCCGGTCAACATGTACGACTAGCAGTAACGGCTGGCAGTTGGCCATAACCAAGCCTTCCTCTCCAGGGGGCCACCACCTGGTAAGATATTCCTTAACTTTCCGTATTGTAATTGACTAATTATACATTGGCTGGAGTTGGGGTTCAGAGTCTTGGTTAACAAGCAGGAACACCTGATTTTCATTGGTGGGTGACACGGGTTGACCGGTGGGTGACACGGGTTGACCGGTGGGTGACACGGGTTGACCGGTGGGTGACACGGGTTGACCGGTGGGTGACACGGGTTGACCGGTGGGTTGACCGGTGGGTGACACGGGTTGACCGGTGGGGTGACACGGGTTGACCGGTGGGTGACACGGGTTGACCGGTGGGTGACACGGGTTGACCGGTGGGTGACACGGGTTGACCGGTGGGTGACACGGGTTGACCGGTGGGTGACACGGGTTGACCGGTGGGTGACACGGGTTGACCGGTGGGTGACACGGGTTGACCGGTGGGTGACACGGGTTGACCGGTGGGTGACACGGGTTGACCGGTGGGTGACACGGGTTGACCGGTGGGTGACACGGGTTGACCGGGGTGGGGTGACACGGGTTGACCGGTGGGTGACACGGGTTGACCGGTGGGTGACACGGGTTGACGGTGGGTGACACGGGTTGACCGGTGGGTGACACGGGTTGACCGGTGGGTGACACGGGTTGACCGGTGGGTGACACGGGTTGACCGGTGGGTGACACGGGTTGACCGGTGGGTGACACGGGTTGACCGGTGGGTGACACGGGTTGACCGGTGGGTGACACGGGTTGACCGGTGGGTGACACGGGTTGACCGGTGGGTGACACGGGTTGACCGGTGGGTGACACGGGTTGACCGGTGGGTGACACGGGTTGACCGGTGGGTGACACGGGTTGACCGGTGGGTGACACGGGTTGACCGGTGGGTGACACGGGTTGACCGGTGGGTGACACGGGTTGACCGGTGGGTGACACGGGTTGACCGGTGGGTGACACGGGTTGACCGGTGGGTGACACGGGTTGACCGGTGGGTGACACGGGTTGACCGGTGGGTGACACGGGTTGACCGGTGGGTGACACGGGTTGACCGGTGGGTGACACGGGTTGACCGGTGGGTGACACGGGTTGACCGGTGGGTGACACGGGTTGACCGGTGGGTGACACGGGTTGACCGGTGGGTGACACGGGTTGACCGGTGGGTGACACGGGTTGACCGGTGGGTGACACGGGTTGACCGGTGGGTGACACGGGTTGACCGGTGGGTGACACGGGTTGACCGGTGGGTGACACGGGTTGACCGGTGGGTGACACGGGTTGACCGGTGGGTGACACGGGTTGACCGGTGGGTGACACGGGTTGACCGGTGGGTGACACGGGTTGACCGGTGGGTGACACGGGTTGACCGGTGGGTGACACGGGTTGACCGGTGGGTGACACGGGTTGACCGGTGGGTGACACGGGTTGACCGGTGGGTGACACGGGTTGACCGGTGGGTGACACGGGTTGACCGGTGGGTGACACGGGTTGACCGGTGGGTGACACGGGTTGACCGGTGGGTGACACGGGTTGACCGGTGGGTGACACGGGTTGACCGGTGGGTGACACGGGTTGACCGGTGGGTGACACGGGTTGACCGGTGGGTGACACGGGTTGACCGGTGGGTGACACGGGTTGACCGGTGGGTGACACGGGTTGACCGGTGGGTGACACGGGTTGACCGGTGGGTGACACGGTTGACCGGTGGGTGACACGGGTTGACCGGTGGGTGACACGGGTTGACCGGTGGGTGACACGGGTTGACCGGTGGGTGACACGGGTTGACCGGTGGGTGACACGGGTTGACCGGTGGGTGACACGGGTTGACCGGGTTGTGGGGTTGACCGGTGGGTGACACGGGTTGACCGGTGGGTGACACGGGTTGACCGGTGGGTGACACGGGTTGACCGGTGGGTGACACGGGTTGACCGGTGGGTGACACGGGTTGACCGGTGGGTGACACGGGTTGACCGGTGGGTGACACGGGTTGACCGGTGGGTGACACGGGTTGACCGGTGGGTGACACGGGTTGACCGGTGGGTGACACGGGTTGACCGGTGGGTGACACGGGTTGACCGGTGGGTGACACGGGTTGACCGGTGGGTGACACGGGTTGACCGGTGGGTGACACGGGTTGACCGGTGGGTGACACGGGTTGACCGGTGGGTGACACGGGTTGACCGGTGGGTGACACGGGTTGACCGGTGGGTGACACGGGTTGACCGGTGGGTGACACGGGTTGACCGGTGGGTGACACGGGTTCACCGGTGGGTGACACGGGTTCACCGGTGGGTGACACGGGTTCACCGGTGGTTCATATAATTATTCCAGTACATTTTCCGTTGAAGTGTTTGTGCATCATCCTTCACAAGGGATGATACCGCAGGATTCTTATAAGTTGGAGATTACTGTGTTTAACTAGTATTACTGAGTGCGGGTACTGTAGGCTGGAGCGTCACTAAGGTAACCTAAGTACTCCAGGTCCTCAAGTGATCTACCTTCAGGTCTTTCCTCGACATTTTGGAGTGATTTGAAGTGTGTGTGTACTCGCCTAGTTGTCTTTGCGGGGGTTGAGCTCTGCTCTTTCGCCCGCCTCCCGACTGTCAATCAACTGTTACTATTCCTTCCCAACACACACCCAGGGAGCAGCCCGTAACAGCTGTCTAACTCCCAGGTACCTAGTAAATGTGTGCTACTTGGTTCGCTGAAGCCTTGTCTGTTTGTATAATGAATTCCCGAGCAATTGGGCAGATGTTGGGAGGAGCGGGGACTCGAGCAGGCATACTGGCCTCCAGTCAGCTCCGCATAATGGGGAAAACTGGAGCATCGAGGGAGAGTTTTCTGCAACTTTCCACCTGAATCCCAACACACTCTGCTAAGATTGCATCAAACTTTTATCAATTTGTTGAGTATTCACAAGCAGGGACTTGTGGGGCCGGCTGCTCCAAGTGTCCCTGGCCACGACTTGCACTTTAGTAGAAGTCAATATATCTTCCCGGGTCCCAACTACTGCTTGAAGACGATGTTCAGCATCCCGTGGTGGTTCTGAAACGAACTAGTAACAGATGCAAGAGCAGGGACTCTAGTTAACTAATGAACGTGACTTCGTAACTAGACAAGAGAAAGATGGAGAGGTTCCAGCAGGAAACATGTCAACATCAGAGGTGGACATGATCACAAGACATGACATGATTGCCAGCATGATTGATTGTGTTGCCTGGTCATCGAATTCAATCAATCCTGTGAGTCAAGTTCTGCCATCCCTGAACCCTTGTTGATGCTGTGTTACAAAGTTCTTTCGCTCCAGATGTTCCACTAACTGTTCCAGATGTTCCACTAACTGTTCCAGATGTTTCGCACAATCTTCACCATCAGCTTGCATATTATGCAAGTTGGGGACATATTCGTTGCCTTGTTGGGGTGAATATTATACACAGTAGGCACTTCTGTAGTTTTACTGATTAAGACAACAAGGTGTATAACTGGCCAGCCGAGGTCCACCTACTGAGTCTGTCGGGAATACTGAGCCTGCTGGGAGCACAGCTGTGTGGCATGACATCAGAGGCCTACTCGCCTGTGATTGGTTATGTCTGAACGGACATACAATTTGAGTATAACACCGCTCGGACACGCTACCAAGTCGACGTCCCTTATCGACAAGCTCTGGCTAGCTATATAGTTACAATGATGCTGAAGGACCTCGGTGGCATTCAATAATGGCTTACATGTGAAATTTGCCTAATAAACATTGAAAGAAGATCAGGTGTGCATAATACTAAAAACTCGGCATATGTACCCAAAAAAATTGATCATAATAGGTGAAAATCATGGTAACAATGCTTTAATTAAACCAGAGTATTAAGAACATGTGGATGTCTACTGATCAGATATGAACAATACAACTCAAGGTATTGCCTAAACAAAATTATTAACATGTGTTAATAGCATGTGCTTGAAACAATACAAAATTAAACAATTATTACATTAATGGAACAAAGTTCTGACCTAACAACCACAAATGAATTTTAAGATTAGATAATGATTTTTTTTTCTTGTTAATGTACAATATATTTAAAAGACCAATGTACAATATATTTAAAAGACCAATGTACAATATATTTACAAGCTGTCTGGGTAAGTTCATTGTCATCTTCCTCATCAGTCTCAAGTCATTTTAGCTAACTTCATGTGGTCTAAATGTTCATTTATATACTCTCCTGTTACCAAGTTGTTAAGTCTGTACTTGTTACCTTTGATATGCTCGGTTACCTTATTACTTATTACTTACTCTGTTACTTGGTTACCCAAAAATTTCTTAGTTAACTTGTACATAGGACCAGACCTGTGTTGGTCAAGTATCATTACTACAGATCCGATAGTTATTTTACTGGGTTTAGCTCGTGCATTCCTTGCTAGAGTGAACTCGGCTGTAGCTTTAGACAGTTGTTCTCGTATTTTCTTGAATACTAGTTGCATAT